CAAACGACTTACAAATGCTACTAAGAATGTAATGCAGACTAGACGACTCAAACTCACCAAAACAGAATAGATAGGACCAGAGCACAATTCAATGAAGTAAAGAAGAGTTAATGGGTCGTGACGAATGGGCGGGCTTTAAGAAATCAGTCTAGTTAAATTACACTAACCAGGACGATCATCATATCTATCTCGCGGACGCCTATCGTCCATTCTTCTCATGTCATCGTCTCGGGATCCCATGAAGCCACCGTCGAAATTTCCTCGGTTACCAAGCATCTCGTTTATGTTCCCTCCACTTATCTACAATAAGAAGTCAAGATAAATATATGACTGTTAAGTCGACTTTAAGCAAGAGAAATCTTACCGATCCGGCAGAGTGGATTCCTAACTGAACAGTTATTTTATCCAGCTGATCTGGAGTCATGCCCCCTGCCGCAGCCGCCATTATTAACTGTTGCAAACCTTGATTGGCTGTAGATAGCCCGGCCCCAGTACCTCCTATTCCTGAGGATGCACCCCCAAGATTAGCGTTGCTGATTCCGCCACCCATAGCAGAGCCGAACCGAGATACGCCACCTATGATGGAAGATTGTAAGTATGAAATCCAAATAGTGCAAAAAAAAATTATCACTAACCTTCCATCATAGAATCCATGCCACCACCGCTACCAAACCCCCTTAAGGATGCAAGTGTAGCCATCCCACCCCCGGGCATACCGGCGGCCGGAGCCATTTGCTGTTGCTGTTGTTGCTGCATTAAGTTCATCATCATCAAGTCTCGTCCACCACCCCCAACAGGGCCTGAGTTGGCACCTGACATGGCGACCAAGAGATCGGCGGCTGCACTTCGACCGATTCCAACATTGGGCGCGGAGTTTCCAGGAAGTCCAGGACCACCCGAGTTACTTCCTCCCCCAAGGAGATCAGCTATAGCAGCGGCGGCAGCCGCACTTTGCTGAGGCATAACCCCGGCTCCTATCCCACCCCGATTTACCGGGGCACCAGAAAGAGCATTGGAATTAAACCCACCAAGCCCACCACCTGAAGAGGCTTTGCTTGTTACCATACCAAGGAACGCTGCGCTTGCAGCCATACCACCAGGAGTAGGTGGAAACAAGGGCAAATAGGGAGGGGCAGGATTGCCTTCCCTGTCAATTTTGACGCGCATTGTCCTGCCGTTGAGTTGCTAAACAATGAAAATTAAATCATATACGATGTGCAATAGATGATTAATAAAAGTTTAGCTTAATTCATACTTGGTTATTGAACATTGTGATGGCTTGAACCGCCTCATACGGATGCTCAAATTTGACGACACCGAATCCGCGAGACTTTTTGTCGCCATCTTCCTTGATAGTAGCGTTCATCACGCGGCCAGCGAGCTTGAAAACATCTTTGAGTTTTTGCCAAGTGACTTTGTAGTCCAACTAAAATGTGTGAGGATTCAGGACTTAGACCGAAATTGCGGAAAGTAAAAGAAGTAAGCGATACGACAGCCAACTTACATTACTGACGTAAATAGAATCTGTTATAGGCCCCTCGATGCCCATACGCTCGAGCATAGCAGGAGTCACTGAACCAATGGCGGCCAATGCAGGATTATTCATTGCGACGGCATTTGCGGTGACTGGGTTAGGCATATTAAGATGGCCCTGGTCACCCGGAGCATCTGATTCCATTTCCGCCATTCTTTCAATGTCACGATGTGTCTCTTCTCTAACTACTAGCTTGCGGTCTCCAATTTCGAAGCGATGCATCATTTCTATCGCCTTTTCTGCTCCGTCATACGTTCGAAATTCCATTAGTCTAAAATATGGCAGGCAAATCTAAATTACCCCATTCCATTTGGTTTGCCGTTTGTTTTGAAGAGTTTAAGGAAGCCAGTGTAACCAACTAGGCATTACAATCAAAATAAAAATCAAAAACGCACTTTTCTCTCGAAAAAGCTCCTTCAATTTCTGCCAGCTTACATCATATGGTATGTTGGCAATGACAACCCGTTTTGAGCGTACGCGAACCCGGCGTGGGGACCTACTTCTCGATCTTGATCGAGATAACGATAGAGAAGAAGAACGCTCCCGTTTAACTTTCTGACGGCTGAAAAAGTTAAAAAGAATGAAACACACCTATCAGAGGCGTCCCGCATCATTTTTGGTGATCAAAGAGAATAAGATGGCGAACAGATGATGTAAACAAACGAGGGGGGGTAACGAGTATGTTATTCAAGAAAAACAAATGTAAGTTATTAAACTTTCAATTTTCTTATATATTGTTTTTTTTCTGACTCGGTAATTTAGCCTTATTACACTAAGCAAAGCATACACTGATGAAAAAATATAATGTAAAATAAGATGCAGCTAAGCTGGCACATTCCTAAATATAATTATGCCATCTTCAAACATAACCTTCATTTACAATGAATAGGGACTTATGCACTTATACCATCACATTATCAATGATTCATCAGCCATATTGGAATTAAAAATCATAAAAGTATCAAAAGCAAAGAGTTGTCATATCTATTTTGATCGTAGATTACTTACGGCATATGTAATCTGTGTGTGCTAGTTTTTGCAGTTTGTTTATTCTGTTAGGATTACATAGAAGTACGAGTATAATCCTGGCCCTATGCTATACGAGTCGTGCTAATTTTCACTGCTGTTTACTTGAGTTGGTACATTTACAGTAGTTGGGCCTGCATATACTTCCCTCTCGTAATGGATCTTTATTAGTCTTAGCAAGGAGCTATAACTCGTCAATGAAATTAGTGAATTCCATCCCTTGACAAAATATATGCTAAACAATTATGATATTACTCATCTTATTGTCTTGAAATAGCCGAATATCCCATATCCTTATATCTCATTACCTCTCTATTATTTCTTCTAACTTTTCTTTCCTGAGATATTCCAAGGGTAAACCCTTTTTATCAGATTTATTGGAACATAATCATACTCTCCTTCAGCTTCCATTTCACCTACATTTATGCCATAATCATTGATCCTACTTGGCAGATTTAGCACATATACTACTTCATTCAAGTTCCTTGTGAATCTCTGTCGTGTTACGGAATATCAGTCTCGATTAGTCGATTTCACTTGGCGTCAGCCACTATAATCGTTATACTACGGACGTTATTTCCTATGACCCGCATTAAGTTTTTGATAGCTCTCATACTATGGTCTCACGAGTATGGCTCCAAAGCCATAATAATTTAGATAGCTGACATAAGCCCTTTGTTATGGACCAACTTAACCCCGTTTCCTCCCTATCATTGGCACAGCTTGGCATGTGTACTAACTTGATAGATTTTATAGTCGAGAATTTAACTCACGGGAGTTAACTATCGTATTTCGAGCCAAATGAGAGCGCATATCTCTGGAATTTATATTTATCGCTATTCTATATATGATCCATACTTATCATGTGTAACTGTTCCCTTATTTATTACAGTCGTCTAGTCTTGATTTCCGACTCTTTTTCAATCCAGATTCTTCATATTAACTATGGATCTTTGTGAATAAGAACATTATTCACAATAAATATATCTTCGTCTTCGCCCATCATAAAAAATATTTAAGCCCTTTATGGAGGAACAAGAAAACGAGTCACAGAGTGTTAGAAGAAAAGTTACGGGCAAGGATTTAGATGTGGAAAAACTCATACGATGGTGGAGTATAGTGTTGATGCAAGAGGGCAGTGTTCTGTTAAATAGGACGGCACTAGGGGAGCCATGGGGCAATGAATGTCAGTCAATGTAGGTGCTGATTCAAAATACTCTTGCGTATTCTTAGTGCCACGTTCTGATCAGTTAGACTAAAAGGCTCGATGCGATGACCAGATTATTGAGCAATCGTAACTGATCTCA